CGTCTCATTTTCTAAACAAGTCGAGCTTGAACAATATTTTAGACTAGTTTAGAAAAAACGAGTTAGACAGACTCAGGCTCAAATTCGCAAAATTCATCTCGATTAACACTCCTAGTCATTCATTTCACCTCTTTCTTTTAAGCAAATTATAAATTATCACCTTTATATTTGTCTCAGTAATTCAATATCTCTCATTACAAAATATAAATAGATATGTATCCTTAAGTGTTTTGGACTAAACTTAAATTATTAGAAATTAGGGGTAACATGTACTTGAAAGTACAGTGCAATATAAATAATTTTGAGAGAGATGTTAGCGACCATAAGATGAGTTTATTTGAGACCGTCGAATAAACTTATTGAAGTCTGTCCTATTTTATATTATAAATTCCGTAAAAATTAACAAGTAATGATTGATACAATTTGTAACAAAATATGTCATAAACAATTATTATATCCTTATGTGTATCACATTTTTTTTCTTTCTTAAATTAATCGATCTCTTTTCTATTTATCTATACTATTTCTAAAAGTGGCTTGACAAGAAAAACATTTATTTTTTCCTATTTTAGCCTTGCATAATTTTATAATATCTACTTTATCCCTATTCAAGAATTTACATATAATTATTGAAGGAATAAATTCATTTTTGGCTTTTGAGTTTCTATTTTCTTCTTAAATAAATTTATATATATATATATATATATATACACACACACACACACTACTACCACTCCTCCTAAAAAACTACTAAACCCATTAGATTAATTACCCTAATCAAGTACATAATATCATATTTAACTCATTGCCCGTCCATCTTCTAATCAATTATTGAGGGATACATTTACTACATAAATTTATGACTGTTTGGATGTTAAGTATGTACAAATTCACTCCTTAACCACTGATTAGTAATATTAATGCAATTTTTTTATCCTTTTTAGACCTTACAAATTCTCCAAGCAAATTTCTAATTACAGTCTAATGCATTGTATTTATGAAAGACCATCCCTTCTCTCCTTCACCATTTGTCTATTGTACCCCAAAAGACGATGAATCGGATTTCTTTTACCTATTGATTCTTCCTTTACTTGATAATACTTCAAATCTATTGCATGTTAGGACCCTTTCAGTTGCACCCAATTCTCTTGTAAATCCTTTGTGTCAAACTTATCATTCAAATTTAATGATAATCAGTCTTTTTCACTAACTCACTGTGAAAATCTCAATATTTTCAAGTCGTGAAACAAACGGTTGTTGAAGAACTGTTAAAGCCATTAAATTGCTATGGAAGAGAATGTACGATTTTCAACTCTATATATTTTCTGGAGAGTGTTTTTTTATTTGGTGTTCTCAACACCCATGAAATAATTTTTGGTTTTTTTGAGTTTGATTAATTCCAGAATATAAAGATAATAGATTTTGTTGGGCCAATGATAAAGGCGGTTGGGCCTTGATTTCCATGGGAGAGTATGCATGCTTTTATAATTGATTTATTCCATACTCAATAACCAGAAAATTGGTTCATGTATGAAGCTTCTATTTTTTTTATGTCATCGTTATGAGAAATGTAGTGGGACTTTCACAAAGATATATGCGGGATAGTGTACTTCTTGATTTCATGCCTTCTGGTAGCCTAATGTGTGTGGGATTATTGGATGATATGGAGCGAGAGCAAGTTAGTGTTGATTTCATCCTGAGTTAGTGGTGGAATGCTTGAACTCTCGGGGCTATTACAGATTATCACGATAACATTTTGTTTCCATCTATGGTAGGCTATGAATTACTGCACTGCTTTAACCTAATTAATTTATACTACTGCTCTGGTTTGATTATATGTTTGACATGTTTATCAATCGCTTTTTTATTATTTGCGTTTTCTTGTGATTTTAGTTCAAGGCTGTTACTTACGAAAAAATTTCCCACTCTCCATTGGTGATCAAAGTTCATCCAATGTACTTATTTTTATATGTAGAATTTATTCCTTCTTCTTTTTTTTTTTTTTTTTTTTTGTGTTATAAAATAATAATGCAGGTTCCATCAATGAATTTTTTGCTTTACGAATCCTGAATCTTCTCACTACCAAGAAGGCCAACACTGCCCAAGGATTCTTAGTAAGCAAAAAATATTCATGATTGCACGGTCACTTAATCCTATTGTTTAGATTGATATTATATTGTTCATCCAGGTTTTGTTTTGTAATTGTTTGTTTGGAATTAAAATATTTTGATTTTTGGAGTGTAATTATTAGGCAAACAACAAAATGGCGGTACAAGAAATGAACAGATAATGTCAATTTACGGTATAAGGATTTCTTCATCTTTCACGACGGCTAGAAATTGCAATTGAGAAAAGCTCAATGAGTGTAAGCTGGACACAAGCAGGCCAAATCAAGATCCAAAAGAAGCAGCACATGGATGTGCCAAACACCGCCCTTTCCATTCCCATTATGAACGACGGCATGGTTATTGTTACACAATTGCCAGAGTTACCCTGACTCCAACTGGAAGCTTGAGACCGGAACCAAGAAAAAACTACCAGTCACTGAAATGATGGAGTCAAGAAAATGACTCAGTGACACTAAAATGCAAAGGTCATGTTCTCAGGTCCAAGACGTCGTTAAATATAAGAATGTTGTGATGGTAAGCTTGAAAGGACTGTAGAATTGTTAGGGAGACGGAGAGACTACCAGATGCAAGGGGAATAGTGGAAGATTATTGAAGAAGACATAAGAGAGAGCTAGCTTTGCCAAGATTATCTCAAATAGAATCTGTTGGCTCTACACAAGTTATAGATCCATCTATCATATCTCTTCATATCATCAAGTAGTCAACGTGACTATCGTATTTGCGCGAAATGAACTTTCCTCAAAGCATTGGGCCTGTTTTACTCTTTTTCTCAAATAACAATGTATTTTTCAATTGTGTTATTTAATTTGCGACATATTTCTGTTAATCAATACCATCATCAGAAGAAAATGTACGCTAGCTTCTTATGGAATGGTCTTGAGTTTTGTCTACTTTTATCTCTATGAAAGACATCATGTTTTGCATTATTCACAGAGTGGCTAATATTAACTTAAGCATAACCCAAAATTATTCATGTGCAATGCATGTGTGCACCAATTATTAGTTACTTCTAAATGTCACTATAAGTAAAAAACTTTTGATTACTATTTTTACCCTCAAACAATTCAAAAAAGTCATTTTTGTTAACTCATTTATGCTACAACAGAAAACTAACAATCACAAGTATAACTGATACGCATAATTTTAGTCCTTACAAATTCTAATAATTAATTTTTAAGTTTCAATTTTTATTGAGTTTAAATTTTTATAGGACTTTTTTTAAGGCCTAAAGTCTTATGGATTTAAATAATGAGACAAAGAAGGGCAAATGTAATTTTTCCCTCATTTTTAAATGACACTGTAGCGACTCTTTTAAACACTTAATTATTTCGTATGTAGGCTTAATTGATTTCTTAGTGTACGACGGACGAACGTTGGTCATAACACAAACATGAAGTGTGGATTGGATAGTAATTAGCGGGATAGAACAATTCATGGTATCAAATAAATTATAGATAGTAAGTTAGATGAGAGAGCAAAGAGATACATCTACGAGGCCAAAGGGTGGTGTGGCTTCCAACTCATCAGCAGACATGTCAAGAAGGCACCACAGAGGGAATTACTTCTAACATACTGTAAGAGTTTAAATTTTAGGAGGAGTACTCTTCTGGCCAAGAATCCAACAAGGAAGTTATTATGGCTTCTTAGCTCACACATTCTTTTACTGCAATATGGGTTAAGGTTGACTTGGGTTTCATTCACTCCCTGCAGATGAATTAAAGTTAGATTTTTTAAATTAAATTATGATAAAATTTGAATGAGAGTTTTGATGTATTTTTTATTTATTAAATGTGAGATATGTGTACCCCATATATTTATCTCCTTTTAAACCGTGATCTAAACATACCATAAGAGTTTATGAATTTCAACACTTTATCCATGACATGTCCCAAGGAAATTTCCTGAAAATTAACGGTTTATTAAAACATGATGTCATAATAACTTTCATATACCATACATATCACAATTTTAAATTTTTTTCCTAAATTAATCAATTTGAAATTTAAATAGATTAAAGAAATGATGTTGTTTTTACTCTATATTGCGAGCCCCGAGCCCCATCCATTGTCGCAAAAATAAAGTTAAAGTGGGTGTAGCAAGATAAAGTATTATTAGTTCAAATCATACAACAGTTAAATATAATTTAATTTTTTATTTTATACTCCTTTGATATATTTTTTTCTTAGTTTTACATAGAATCATCAATTTACATAAATAAAAACATGTATTACTTGAATGCTGAATGAAATCTCTTTACATTTCTAATTTTATTAGAGCTAATCTCACTTTGCACTCTAAAATATGTTTTGATTCTCAGTTTATAGTTTTAATCATTAAAAATTTTAATTTACACCCTCAATGCTACGAATTGATAGCAATGTGAATTTGACTCAGACTATCGTTCAATTTTTCATTATAAATTTAGACACCTGAGGTGCAAGTGCGCATATCTACCGCTGTAGATCTTCTCCGGCCATCAATTTGACACTATTTTATGTATTAAAAATATAATTTTATAATATGATTTTATTAATCCGATAGAAACTAATCATATTATGTGCAACTCGTTTGAGACGCCAACGTGATGAAAATTTATACATAAGTCTATGTCTAAAATATTTACAATTTATGTGTTTCAATTTATAACAAAAACTTGAAGGCAGTCTAGACGAGATCCACATTAATATCAATTCATAATATTGAGGATATAAATTAATGTTTTTAATGTGCGAAAGTACAAATTGAGAATCCAAACATCTCCTACAAGCGTAAAATAAGATTTAACTATAGAGACATGTATAAATGATGCATTGCTTCTCATCCTTCCATACATAAAACATCATCAATATATTCGTCCTTAAACTTGCCGAAATGGCAATCTCAGGAACCAATTTCAACCTGTTCAGCCACCGTTCTGTGGCTTACGAATCTGCATCAGAAAATAAACCAGACTCACTTTCATTCTACCGTAGTTTCTTGAGAGACAATGGCGCGGTACCGATCGACAAACTCGGCCACACGGTCCTCCATCTTCTGGCCATCAATGGCAATGTGGCCGCCATGGAAAGCCTACTTCAGGCAGACCTCCTGCTCGACGAAATGCTCGTGAGAAAGGATGTCAACGGCAACACTGCGCTGCACGAAGCTGCGAGGTTTGGACATAAGGGTGTGGCGGAGATCATGGTGAAGAAGAAGCCGAGTTTAGCTTTCGAGAGGAATAATTTGAACGAGACGCCTCTTTACCTTTCCGCTGCGTATGGTAAGAAGGAAGTTTTCGAGCTTCTGGAAAGTTATAGCGATTGCAGAGCAAGGAGGTACGATGGCTGCACCGTTCTTCATGCTGCGATTGAAGGAGAACGTTACAGTATGTTTTCACTTCCATTTGTTTTTTAATATTCATTTCAAAGTGGTAATAAATAAGATCACCTGCAATCTTCCTTGATGGAACATATATATTAGGAAGCTTAACCTGGCACCAGGGGCGGCCCAACGTAAATGGGTTTAACTATCACAATGTAATATTTGGTGCAAAAGATTATTCGCATTACGTTTTAGGAGTGAGCTAGTAGTACAAACGTGCATTCAAAGAGAGAGAGAGGGGCTAGCTTTTCTGAGGGAAAAAATTAAAGCAATCATATATAAAATATAATATTACGAGGACTTTATTGAACTTAACTAAGTGGAGAAATCTTTTAGGCCTAATAAAATTAGAAATTGAATTGGGCTCTAAAAGTGAGGGCCTAAAAATTCAGGATCCATTTAATACTCAAATTTATAAAATTTTCGACCTTAGAGGCCTCTATGGCTAGGGAACCCTGCCTGACACAATCCACAAGTACAGCATTGCATTTGCGGTGACAACCTACCCGTGCCGTGAGTTTTGGAAATTGTAGTTTAATCTTTTTACCTAGTTTTATTAACATAAAAAAGAAAAGATAAGATCGCAATGAGAAGTGCCCACGTAATATAGATATCTCTGAGCATAACAACGATATTAAGAGCTAGGTTCTTAATTTTGGACCTCCTCCATAGTATTGGTATGTGTCACACAAAGCATCTAATGTGATAATTTAGAGTAATAGCCTAACACAAAAGAATTTGCATGTAAGAAATGTGAAGTTATGAATGAAAAGCCACCCGACTATCTCAACAACTTAAGATTTTGTATTTTGTCAACTAGGTTTGGTTGTGAGCATATTGGACTCATACCCTGATCTTGCTCAAAAACATGATGAGAAGGGTACTACTCCTTTCAATTTGTTGGCCTCAAAACCATCATCGTTTAGAAGCAGATCGGCATATGTGTTGTATGATCTAAGCAGGACACCTTTCATCCCCTGGCAGGTAGTTGAAGCAGTAATCTACAACTGTAAGTATTACATCATTACACCACCCTAGTATTAAACGTAATTTTTTGTTTATATATCTATTTTGTGCCGCTTATTCCAACTTCCTTTTTAGAATATAACTTAAAAAGGAAAATCTTTAAGTTTTGTCCCAGAAACAATCAAACAACAAAGAGCCGAATAGGTGTCCTAAGGTTTCCACATCTTGTTTTCTTTCTTTCTTATGAGGTTATGACACGCTGGGCCTTCAGAATGGCAATAATTGATTGAGGTCTTTGAAATGTATACTAGCACATCTTTCTTCATCTGCTTGAGCTTGTAGAAAAGTTATTTTTTTTTATCAAGCAGTTAAGTAATAGCCTACTTAACTAGAATGACTTTTGAGTTTTGCATTATTTTGTGGCTGAGCAGGTATTCCAACAATGTATGTCAAGACAGCTTTGGAGCCACAAGCTGCCAGGAATGTAGAGGACCCAAATGATAATAGACTTGGAATTTCCAAACTAGAAAGGTCTTCTTTCATCAGAAGAATCTTAGGTGTGCTAGCTCTTCTTATTCTTGTTTTTCGTCTGCTTTTCTTTAATTTTCAATGAATTAAAAAGATTCACATACTTGATTTCTGGTTAAACAAGCTAAAAATCCTAAAGAAGAGAAGTCAACTACCGGATGAAACTATATTGCCACCATTCAAAAAGAAAGTATGAATAGCATTTTCCAGGACTATCAGTCACTTCATCACTTTCAATGGTACATGCAATTTATGATATTTTTCTTTGTCTGCTGCTGCTTCTACTTTATTTAGAGTTTCTCTCCTGTGATATAGGTTACTGGTATTTCAAAAAAATTGATGATCCCAAGCAAAAGCATGAATTTTCCGTAGTGCTGGCAAAGAGATTGATTGGCAAAGAAGATTGGAGTCGGTACATTTACTATGAAAGTATAGACCCTGAAGACAGCTCATTTGGGATATCTCCAAGGAAGACAAAAACAGTGCCTGACCCGCTAATACAGGCAACAAAGTTCGGCTTTCTCGAGCTGGTAATGGTGATCCTCCAAAAATATCCCGAGGCTGCAGGTTCCTTTGATGAGAATGGAAAGAACATACTGCATATAACAGTGGAGCAGAAGCATAGGTTTATGTATGACTACTTGATGAACTTTGGTGCATATTAGGATAGGATGCTAGCAGATATTGATATCCAAGGGAACACCATCTTGCATCTTGCAACATGCGTGGGGTATCCGACAAGCTCTCCTTCTGGATTCACAGATGCTGGTGATCGATGGAATGCCAATTTTCATGTTGGGGCAAAGCGGGGAAGTGTTGGAGTGGTGAACCAGCTGAGTTGGGATGTGCTTTGGTTTAAGGTATTGAAGGCAATTTTAGACTTTATAGCATGTGGATGTGGGGGGAAGTTTGGTCCCCCTACTGTCAATGTGGGTTTGCCACTGCCCATGGCCCGCCGGTCCACTGGTTGCAGGCCAACTCTCAACCTTACTCTTAGCACAATACTTAAAACACCTTAAACCTCGTTGATGCTTCCTAATCCTTTTTCTTTTTCCTACAGCGAGTAAAGCATGACTCTTATCCACACCTATGGCATCTTCACAACATTGAGGGAAAGGCAGCAGAAGAATTATTCGAAGAAAATCACTCAGTTCTCCGAGAAGAAGCAGAGAAAGCAGCCAAACATGTGAGTGACAACTTAATCATCGTCGCCATCCTCATCGGCACAATCAATTTCGTGGCATTTTTCACTGTCCCTGGAGATTTCAATCAAAACACTGGCATTCCCATGTTCTGTGAAAATTATAAGCAAGAAATGGATTTCTTCCTGGTGTACATAGGCCTTGGTCTCTTCTTCGTGTTTCTGTCCTTAGCAACTCTCATGTTAATTCAGCTATCGTGGTTTGACACCAAGGATTTTCACATTGCCATTCCAGCAAAAACTATACTTTCCTGCATCACCATTATCTACTCCACTTGTTTTTCTGCCACAGCGTATGCTCAGTGGTATATTCTTGAAGGGAAATTGTCAACCTTCTTGACCACCTTTTTGACTTTGTTCCTATTGCTTGTGTCGGCAGTGTTGGCCCTCATAATGATCAACACGAAGGTATTGATATTCTATTACATGTACTATGCGATACGCTATTTGCTGTCTTATAAAAGCCAGGACTAGTAGAGCCTGCTTGTTTATAGTTTTATTTGATGTTTGCATTGAAGAGAATTACAAATGAACAAAGGCCTTCTTTTTGTTGGTACAATGGACAAGGAAATCAGAGTTACCTAGGTGCTCTTACAATAGTTAATACTGGTTAGTTTAGCACTAATTAAGTGCCTGATCTTACCGGGATTCAACCATTTGTAATTTCTTAAGTTGACAAACCATCCACCCATTGGTTTTCTTCTCGAATAATATGCTTTGGTTGAATGTAAGCTAGTCATTACATACTTGCAATTCTTAACCAGTGCTCTGTTTGTATGTCTTTCAACATTGAATGTGATTGAACTTATTGCTCCCAAGGAGTCTATATCTACCGTGACTCTATTGTAAGTGTGGCAATTTCTAACACAACACGAAAACATGACTCAAAATCGACCCAAAATTAGCGAATTCGAGTTAAGGATTTCTCGACATGACGCTATGGTCACCGAGTCTAAGCTGATTTTGCGGCCCCAGAATGAAGCTGGTTCATCGGAGATCATGTCGGTAGTTACTGTTCCGACCCCAGATTTGGGGCCTCAATACGAGCAGCTACAAGGGCATTCTTGGCGTGTTGATAAGCCAAAAATTAGAGATAACAATCAAAGGATTCCTATTGCTAAGGAGGGAATCCCGGAGGGAGTAATCCCATTACAGATTCATAGTTAAGATTTGGTGATTAGCTTAAATAAGGAAAGGAGGGAAGGGGTAATTCCAGCTAGGCTTGAGTTTCTGGGCCTTACAAAAACTCAACAAGCCTCTAAAATAGGTGATTTATATAGGGTGGGCCTAACCTCAGACTTCTTAACTGCGGTCCATATGGATATATTGGAGCTAGTGGAAATCAAGGGCTCAATCATAGAACACCCAAAAGACCTAATCCAAACGAAAGATATTGCTTTTTTTGGATAGGGGTCTTCGCCTCCTGAGCTCAACATTGGGGCAGTTAGGAATTTGAAGCTGGCTAACAAGGGAAAGGAAAGTGGTCTCGTAAGGCCAAATCTCCTATTCCAAATGCAAATTGGGAAATCCAAGAGGTCAATGTGGGTGACAAGATACAGGGAGATGATTGAGGGTGTTTAACAATTCTTGGAAATGACAATGTTTCTTGCAAGACGGTTCAAGTATTACAATCCACTTTTCTCAACTCATCAACATCGGCGGCAACTATTGATCAGTCCCGCTAGGAGCTATGATAGACGTCTGCTAGAACTGCCAAGGGGTTGGGAACCCTTGTGCAGTTTGTGCGCTTCTTGATCTGGTGAAGCCGAAAGAGCCTAGTTTGGTTTTCTTCATGGAGACCAGGCTATAGATAAAATAAAGTTTTGGATTGGTTTGTTGCAAGGGATGGCGGTTGATGTGTGAGGTAGAGGTGGGGGGCTCGCCTTATTGTGCAAAAGGGGAGTCTGAATTAGTGTCAAAAGTTTCTCAAATTTCCATATTGATGCAGTTGTTGATGAATTCAAAGTAGTGGCGTTTTGTGGGCTTCTATGGTCACCCTAAAGTTAGTTTTAGAAAGCATTCTTGGAGATTGTTGAAGCTAATAAGTCAGAGATCTACTCTCCCTTGGATTTGTGCGGAAGACTTTAATGAGATGGTTTCTTCTGAGGAGAAATGGGGTGGGCAGGATTGTTCAATTTGGCAAATGAGGGAGTTTCGTGAAGCTATTGATGTGTGTCAATTATAGGATATAGGGTTCAAGGGTAGTCCTTTTGCATGGTGGAGTGGGAGTGTCCATCCGTACTCAGTTAAGGCCAAGTTGGATAGAATTTGGGAGACGCCTTTGTGGTCCTCTTTATTCCCACACAGTAGTGTCAAACATCTACCCACTACGGACTCGAATTATTGTCAAATTCTATTTCGTGTAGCAGATTCACAAGATGGGGGAGTAGGATGGAGGAGGAAAAAATGTTTTTGCTTTGAGCCAATGTGGCTTATTGACCCATCTTGCTTGGAAGTAATTCGTCAAAGTTGGCATGGTTTCGGTTCGGGTTCGCTTGAGCATCATTACCTCAAAAATCTGAGAAGTTGCAGAGTGGGATTATTGAAGTTGAAGTATGAGAAATTTGGTAATATAACAGCTAAGATTCAGACAAACAGAGAAAGGATATCTAATTTACAAGCAAGGGTCATCACAGAAAATAAGGAATGAATTAAGGGAGGTCCAGTCTCATATTAATAACCTATTGGAGGTGGAGGAGACAATGTGGAGGTAGCGTTCTAAATCATTGTGGTTGAAGGAGGGTGATAGAAACACGAGTTTTTTCCATGCTCAAGCAAGTTCAAGGAAACAAAGGAATTGGATTACAGGTATTTTTTAATGAGGAGGGTACATGGGTGACAGAGCAGGAACAGATTGAAAGATTAGCAATTAATTATTCTACAGATTTATTCAGGTCGGCGCATCCTTCTTTTCAACAGATGGAGCAAGTTACAAACAATGTTGATCCGAGTGTTTCACCTGACATAAATCATACTTTGTTAGCAGAATTTATGCCATCTGAAGTAGCAGTGACTTTGAACCAATTTCACCCAAATAAATTCCTAGGCCCAGACGGTATGGGGCCAATTTTCTTCCATAAATTCTGGAATGTGGTGGGTGATGATGTCACATGAGTGGTTTTGGATTTTCTAAACTTAGATAATCCATGTTGCAGTCTCAACTATACACACATAGTATTGATACCCAAGCTACCAAACCCAGAGAACATGACACACTTTTGCCCTATTAGTTTGTTTAACGTAGTGTATAAACTGATAGCGAAAGTCCTTGCTAATAGACTAAAGGAGAATTCTACCCAAGATAATTTCAGAGTTCCAAAGTGCTTTCATACTAGGATGGTTGATTACAGATAATGTATTTATTGTTTATGAGGTCAATCACTACCTAAAGCAAAAGAAAATGGGAGGTAAGGCCTACATGTCACTCAAACTTGATATGAGTAAGGTCTATGATAGAATTTAGTTGAATTTTTTAGAAGCAACAATACGTTGCATGGGTTTCGATGAACGTTGGGTGAAAGTATCTTACTCTCTTATAATCAATAGGGAACAAACAAGTTTTTTTCAGGCCGCAACGAGGTTTACGATAGGGAAGTCCTCTCTCGCCTTATTTAGTTTTGTTGTGTTCAGAAGGTCTTTCGCCACTCTTAAGAGCAGGTGAGGCTAGGGGAAGTCTAAAAGGAATGTTAGCAAGAAGAAGAGGGCCAATTTTCTCTCATTTATTCTTTGCGGATGCAACCTTCTATTTGCCCAGGCCTGTAAACTCCCACATGTTTATATTAATATAGTAATGTACTTGTTTAGTGATTATAATATATGTAATGACGTAAGAATAAACCATATATATTGAAACCGTAAGAATAAATACTAGGGAGGCAAATTGATTGTAAAATTTAATTTAATTTTATTTTTTAGGTGTTTAAGGTTGATAAGTGTAACAAAGTAAAAATAGTCAAAATAATATTATCCTTGAACCTGGGAGGTCCGAAAAACTTGGGATAGTCATAGCACATATAGTAGTTCAGATGAATAAAATAGTAATTTTAGTGTTTCGAGTATAAATTTATTTTAGTTTCGAAATAAATCATAAAAATAAATATTTTTAGGTTAAAATAACATTAAAAATAAATCCGGAACGTCGAAAAACCTTAAGGTAGTCATATAGATCACATTGGAGATTCTTAGTGGCAAAATCGTAATTTTAGAAAAAAATCAAATCAGCCTGTGAACAGTAAAATCAGGATTTGGCTGACCTTATAACACCATTTCATCTCATTTTTCCTCATTTCCTTCACTCCACTCTCACCCCACACGTCTTGGAACCTTAGAGGAAGATTAAGGGAGGAAAAAAATGGAAGAAGGAGGTCACTAGAGTTTGGATTCTCACTTGGAATTTTGATTCAAGGTAGAGATTTTCTTCCACCCTTGTTCATTGAGATTAGGATATTTATATATGTATGTTTT